TTTCAATTCAAACTCGTGTACTAAGAGAAACAAATGGCCCTACTAATGAATCATGATGTGAATAACCAATGAGTAACAAAAACTCATTTTATGACCAAAGGGCCACATACTTACTTTCTATCTTGTACGTGTGGAGACAATTTACTTTGAGATGTAATTAGCCATCTTTATGTTTTTTCCTCTTTCATGTTTTACTCGAAACGATATTCTGAAACATAGAGATAATAAAAAAAAAAAGAAAAAAAAAGGTTGAAAATTTATAAGGAATTGATATAAAATAAAAAAAATAACAATTAAAATTGAAGAAAATGCTAAGGTCTCATAACAGAACTATTCCGTCGGGTTTGTAACCACTAGATCAACTATCCCCGACGATTACATGATGATCTAACGATTACAAACCCCGATAGAATAGTTTCGTAATGGACTATAGAATCTCCCCAAAATTGATGTGATTTAAAACAATAGATATTAATTGGTAATGACGGACTGTTAAAAATAGACAGATATTTTTTTTTTTTATTATTATTAAATATCAATCGATTTTATATTTTGGAAATTATGATGATGGAAGATCACTACTAGAAAAACATCAATTTTCAATAGCAATATATTTAATAGATATTCCGATACTATAAACTTTCGTTGAAAAATGAAATTATTCTATTTCAGATCAACAGCTTAAAACATCAAAGTGTTTTGCTTCCGTATTCCATTAGCTTCAATTATTAAAAAAAATATTGCAATAATTGCTGAAACTGTCTTGCTAAATTTGATTTACGTATATCATCAAGTACGTACACGGCATTAATTATATTGGCACCACCTATTAAACAAAAGAGTTAGCTTCTAAGTTCAGCTCGGCTCGGTAAGATTAGAGTTCGGCTTGGCTCGTTTGATAAATTAGTCGAGTTCGATCTCGCTTAAAGCTTGTTTCATTAACGAGTCAGGCTCGATTCGGTTCGATAAGACTTGAAAAATGAATAGTAATGTAATATTTTATAATTCGACTCGATAACGCTCAATATTTGTTAAGACTCTAACTCGACTCATTATTATTAATAATGAGTCGAGATCGAGATCGAGCTCAATTAATTTAGTTGGACTTGACTCATTAAATGGGAACACTAATCCACCATTTTCATTTCATTACCAAACTTTGTTTTCACATTCTTGGCTTTTATAGTTTTATTATAAATTATAATAGATAAGGACCCAACTTTATTTGTTTCATACTAACAGCATTTAGTGCCATATTAGCTAGAAATTAAATTACACCAAATTTTGCTACAAGGCAGCGACAAATTTTAAAGCCAGAATGAAGTTAGGCCACTACATACCCAAAAAAAAAAAACAGTCATATTCCAAGGATAATATAGTCCAAACATAAAATCCAACAAACATATTTCGTCGAAATTTGTTTTCCATTGAAACTTTAGTTGCAATTTGATGATTCGAGCAATCATTTGTAAAATGATTTATTATTGTAGAAATTTCTGTTGAAGTATACTTAGAATTTTCATCAGCATTTCAGTCGTTGGAAAATCTATCATTGGAATCATCAAAATTAAAAATTTAACGAGAATCTCAATGAAAAACTCATGTTGCCCATCCAAAATTGAAGCAGCGAAAAAAATATGATTTTAATTGTACAAAAGCAAGAGAAATAGATATTTCATAAATGTCTCTTTTCCTCTCCAAGTAAAATTACCCTAGTGTTTATAGTGTAGTACATTCGACCCACTATTCATTATGTAGTACAAGTTATTATTCGTTGTGTAGTATAATGAGATTTATCTCTAAGGGCATCCGCGTCGCGGGTAATTTTCTCAGCGTTTAAACCTCCCTGCATTATTCCGTGTTGCGGCTCATCCGTTAAAAGGGGGGCCCATTGGACCGTTCACTCTGCTGAACGCGTTCAATGCTTTATCTTTTTTTTTTCTTTATTGCTTTCTTTATTAATTGAAAGTTTGTTTTAAAATATTTTTTATTTAATCATTTTTCTTTTTGTTTTTATATTTATTTTATTTTTTATCTATATCACACTTTTCAATATAAATAAATTCAAATTTTATCTATATCACAACTATAAAAAATATTTTTTGTTAATTGTACTATTTTTTTCTTGTGTAATTTTAATTTAAGTTATTTTGGTCTTGTAGTGTTTTTTCATTTTCATGCATTTAAAAATATTAAATTTTATTTTTATTGAGAATAGAATATAAAATTTATATTGAATGAGTGGATAATGGGTCCCATGTATATTTAAATGAATGTGTAGGAATGTGGGTGTGTGTTTAAATGAAGATAGATTTAGTGGAAAGATGATGTGAAGATGACGTGGATGAGAGAGTGTTACTTTTTTATTGAATGAATGAAATGTGCGTTAAAGGGCTGTGGATGCCCTAGGAGAACATGACACCATTTAATACATGTCAAGTGTCATGTAAGTAAATGTCTTGTCAATAATAATTGGCATGGTTATGCAACATTTCATGCGTTGGGTTAGTTGTTCGGCATCTTAGGTATTGTTCAGCTTCGTAGTGGACCAGCTCGACATTTGTGGACCAGCTCGACGTTTGAGGACTAGTTCGGCATTTTTGAATCTGTTTGGAATTTGAGGACATGTTCCTCATATCGTTGATTTGGTATCTTACCTGTTCGGTTCGGTATATTGCATGTTTGATTCGATATATTTTATGTTCGATCCGGTATATTATCTGTTTGGTTCGGTATATTACCTGACAGAAAATCTGTTGTTTATATGTCCATTTTTTGAGCATTTTGAATCTCCGTTTGTTTTGCCACGTGTCACGCTTCTATTAGCCGTGATTAAATTGGTACCAACAATTTAATCCAACGTAATATTTTTGATAGAATTTATGTAGTAAATTGGAGTCCACTAGAAAATATAACGGAAATGATAGTATTGAATATCCATTGGAATTGTCGTTTGATTTCCATTGAAATATATATTCGTTGGGATTTCATCACTTTCTTGTAGTGGAAATAGTACGTAACCGAATTAATCTAGAGTTGTCGTATCCACCTATAGCCATATTTATCTTCTTCTTTTTTTTGGTTATTTTTTCTATAAGTTTAATAAGTTTAATTTAGTAGATAGCTTTATATGGATTCTTATATGACTATCTATTAATATATAAAGAGGGAATGATATTTATTTGAAAAAAGATGAAAAAAAATTAGCAAAAAAAGAAGCTAATTCCCGCCCAAAGTGAATAAAATGAGAAAGATTTTTGGCTAAAAATTAAAATTCGAGCGTCATCCAACCAATTTTGAAAATTTTGAAAAAATAAATAAATTAAAAAATCTAAATAAGAAGATTACATGAAGATTTTTTGGAGATTCCATATTATCTAACTTTCATACATTAGGAATGAGACACTTGTCCTATTTTCATTGGTCCACTATAAATTTTATATGGTAAGATAAGTATAACTCAAATTATTGATATTATTTTATTTTAAAAAATAAAATAAAAAATACCAAAATTCGTATTTTTTCATACTCTATAAATAGAGACCACTCTTGATATGTTTTGGAACACAATTAAAATTATTATGTTGGGTTAGGTTGTAGATAAAACAATACTAAACAATGTATTGTAGATAATATTTATTAAATAAATAAATAAAAATAAAATAAATATTATACTATCTTTATTTGGTCACCAACTAAAAAATAATAAGAAAATAAAAAAATAGCAAAATCCGCGACTTAGGTCAAATTGTGACCCTAGATCGCAACCTAGCCACAAGGAGGGAGAGATAAATGAGGTGAGTGAAATG